TGTCTTCCTGGGTCTGGGTTACCTCACTCAGGATGTTTTTTTCCTAGGGCCATCCATTTGCCTGCAAATTTCAAGATGTTGTTGGTTTTTAATGCTCCATTGTGTAAATGTGTCATATTTTATTTATCCATTTTTCGAGTGCATCAGGTTTTTCTCCAGGTTCTGGTTATTACAAATAATTCTACTATGAATAATTTGTTGTGTTGAGCAAGTGTCCTTGTGGTTTGAGTGTGCATCTTTTGGGTATATGCTCAAGTGTTACTGCTGGATCTTGAGGTAGATTGATTCCCAATTGTCTGAGAAACTGCCATGCTGATTTCCAAAGTGGTTGTACAAGTTTGTACTCCCACCAGCAATGGAGGAGTGTTCCCCTTACTCTATATCTTCTCCAGCATAAGCTGTCATCAGTGTTTTTAATCTTAGTCATTCGGATAGGTGTAAGATGGTATCTCATAATTGTTTTGATTTGCATTTCCCTGATGGCTAAGGATGGTGAGCAATTCCTTAAATGCCTTTTAGCCATTTGAGTTTAACCTGTCTTTTAAAGTCTTTATTTGCTGAACTTCTCCCTATACCCAAACAAAATATTCCATGCAAACTCTCCCAATAGCTCTCACCCTACAATAGCTCCATTTGTTCCTGACGTATCTGCCAAAAGACCTTTTAGATGTTCTGGGGAAACTCTACCTGAAAGGGACCTTCCACCTTTTTACCCTTGGTCAGACACAATTCTTCACTTTAGTTCTTGAATTTTCTCCTGTGCCCTCCTTTGCTCTCTTGTTCCCTGCCACTTCTGCTAATTCTTTCTGGTGCAGCTGTCCTGGCAATGGGACTGGTCACTTTCACCCTGAGTCAACTCTATGCCCACTTCCTCTCAGCATCCCGCTCTGTTCCTGCCTATCCTTCGACCTTTCCAGAAAAATATCTCAGTTTTACTCTGTAAACAGACCACCTGCTTACAATCACCTAATAATTGTTTTCCAAGTCCCTTCAGGAATGTAGGATGGACTGTCTGATCCATTTTAGTCGATCAAGTTAAGACACCTCTCCACCCCCAAGCTAAAGGACCATCCAACAACAACAACAACAAAAAAACAGTTATAACACTCCTGCCTTGCATTTTTACAGCCTCTCGGCATTCTGATTTCAGTGTCCTTGCGGATTATGGATGTCATTCCCACCTCTATAAGGAGCCACCTCCCATCTTCCTCTGTAGACATTTCAACCATTTGCCCATATGGGTGACAAAAGTGCACCCTGCCCATGAGTACACACTGTCCCACCTAAGGTCAAACCAAATAAAGCATCTCTTTATTTCCATGCTCCCTCTCTCCACAACTGCTCTTTAAATAATCTAACACACACTACCCCAACTTATCTGGGTATTTAATGGACTGTGCCAAAATATCAATACTTTTCACAGAAAGAAAATTGTTTGCACCACAAAAGATTCCCAAAGAGCTAAAGTATTCTGAACAAAGCTGTAGGTATGACAATATCTGTTTTCAAAACATACTAGAGAGTGACATGAATCAAAACAACAACTAAAGACAGCCTGTTGTGGTGCAGGCCTGTAATCCTAGCCCTTGGAAGGCAGATCTCTGTGAGTTCAAGGCCAGGCTGATCTAAAAAGCTAAAAAAAACCCCAGTCACTTAAAACTTGACTCATAAACCAGTTGAAAAGAGAACCCAGAGTGTAAATCATGTTTTTAAAACCAGCTGATGTCAATAAAAGTAGTAAAATCACACCCTGGAGAAAATACTATCCTTTTATGAAAGGATCTGAGAAAACTGGAAATCTATATGCAAAGGTAAGAACCTGGACACCTATTTTGTACTGTGCATAAAAGTTAATGGAAAATGGATCAAGACTTAAATGTCAGACAGGAAAAACCCCCGAAGACAACATAAGGAAAATATTTGGACACTGGTCTGAACAGTTTCTTTTAATTACCCAGAAAGCATAAGTAACCAAGGCAAAAGTGAATGTTGAGTCTTTACTGAGCTAAGCATGTTTTGATACAACAAAGAAAAAAAAAAGACAACAACAACATCATAAAATGACAGCCACAGAACTGGAGGTAGGATGGTAAATCATTTGTTGTATAATGGACTAAGTTTTAGAATGTATAAGGGACTCAAGTCAGTTTTTGAAACAACCATGCCAACACATAACCCAAATAAAAAATGGAACTGCCAAAAAGCATAAGGAAAATGCCCAGCATCATAAATCTTCAGGGAGATGAACAAAAGCACAACAGGATATCAAATGATAGAGATGGGGGAGACGGAGAAGAGGGACAAGGACAGGGATGGGTAGAAAGGGGATAAAGTGGAAACAAGGATGCAAAGAAAGGCAAATTCTCAAGTTCACACAGACTGTGGAAAACACAATGTAGTTCCTAAAACTGAAAGTAAACCACCATATGGCCCAGTGGTCCCATTACTGGGCATATATCCAAAAAGAATGAAAATGCTCTGTGAAACACTCTGAACTCTCATGCTTACTGAATTAGCATTCATAATCGCAAAGATATTGTGATGGGTAAATGAATAAAAATGTGACGGATCCAGTTAAATATTCTTTAGTTATAAAAATAATGAAATAATGGCATTTACAGAAACATGAATGGTACTGGAGGACATTATGTCTATCAAGGGAAGTAAGTTGGTAAAGAAATACAGAAGGCATATGTTCTTACTGTTATCAGAAGCTAAAATGTTAATATTTAAAAAGGAAAGGATTGAATCATGGTTGCCAGATCTTGTGGGGGAGGGTGTATTTTGAATATTTCAAATACAAAGAGGTGATGTTGGAGTTAATAAGATACATCTATTATCTGACTGGGGAAGTACATCAGTTAGCACAGTAATTGCCTAGCTGGATACCCAGAACCATATAACCCTGATATAGTTATGACTGAAATTCCAGTTCTTAGGAGGAAGAGACAGGAGAATCAGATGTATGAAGTCATCTTCAGCAGTACAGTGACTTTAAGGCTAGCCTGGTATACATGGATCTGGGTTTTACAAAAACAAACATATACCAGTTTCTCTGACCTGATTATCATATATTGAGTACACAAATTGTTACACCGTGTCACATACATGAAATTATTGTGTCAACTAAAATTTAAAAAGTATTTAAAATGTCATATGATACCCAGTGTTTGAGAAAAAACTATTTCCCTCAACCTATTGACTTCTACAAAGAGCATCTACTTAGTTACTTTCCTGTTGCTGTGATAAAATTCCACAGCAAAGGCAAATTAAGAATAAACAGTTTATTTTGGCCTGTGGTTCCAGAGGGATAAGAGTCTGTTATGGCAAGAAGGCAAGTAGGAAGCTGTGAGATCACATCTTAACTACCAGCATGACACAGAGAGCAAACTAAAAGTGGGCAAACGCTTTTAATCTCAAAGCCCAGACCCAGCCACTGACTTCTTACAGCTAGAGTGTAACACCTAAACCTTCCCAGTGTCAACACCAGGGACTAGGAGTTCAAAGACCTCAGACTATGGGGTGGGCATTTCTCATCTAAACCACCACAGCGTCATTAACCGTCTTCTAAGAATATTCAAATACACTTAAAACTACAACTGAAATTATTCTGCCATTCCTATCTATGAAATTTACTGTTAATGACGTTATTCCATGGGGGACTATAGGCTTGGTTTGTTGTTTTAAGAATATCTGATATAATTTACTACAGTTTTCATTTTCCTTTTACTATGAATTAATTTCACACACAAATACATTCGTGTGTGTGTGTGTGTGTGTGTGGTGTGTGTGTGTGTGTGTGTGTGTGGACCGCTTAGGTGGAGAACCTAGTTGGGGTGAAATGGCTACAGACACTGATTGTAACTGTGTGCGGGAATCAACTGTAGATGATTAAAGGTTAAGGGGGTGGGATTTGTTTTGCGGATGAGTCAGTTCTCAGAACTAGAAAGGTAGCATTCAAGAGTATTGAAAAACCAACCCCAGTGTGAGTATTCAGTGAATACTTACTGACCTTCACTAGCAGTTGGGGTAGACTGTGAACAACGGTCACGATTTAAATAATTTCTTGTCCTTTTATAGTTAACCACGTTTTTATAAGTAACTAAACAAAACACAGAAGTCCTCTGCAGTAACCAAATGCAGCTACTTAATGATGGTCAACTATTACTTGTTATCTCCTATAAGCTGACAGACAAATTTCCATCTGCTTGTTAAGTTTGTCCTCTTACCTTATAATTTTGAGACAGGAGTTATTATCATCGGTAGTCCATCCGGGTTATCGTTTCCCTGGCTTGCCTCTGACTGCTGGGTTTTGCCTTGTGGCAATCAATCCCGTGTCACCTGTAAACACAACCTTCTCGGCCATCTCCAGTTTGCTTTTTAGCCACCTCAAGGGCATCTTAAAGCTTGTGCTTTTGATGTCTGGGGGGTGTTTAAAGTCACACCGAGGCCTGTCACTGCCAGTTGATGCTTGTAGAGATCTCCCTGCCCAAGGATCCAGTCTCTGTGTAAAGACTGGGCCAGGGGTGGGTGGAGAGAGACCATGATGGCCGGCACAAGTCCTGCCTCCTCCCAGCGGGTCTGCGCGTGGTGGTGGCGGCCGCCGGGGAGGGTACACTGTCCCTCTGGCTTGGCACACTTTGGGGGGAAGGAAGCCGCCTTCCCACAAGGCGACTCATTCTAACGGGTTTCCCCTGGGATTCCTGCTTCCACGAGGCGCAGGACGCGGGGGAATGAAAAAGGAGGTGGGCCCAGAGGACAGGGGTTAGGGCAGCGGAAGAAGGATGCGCACGGATCTCCTCCCGCCCGCCAGGGGTGGGGAACCGAGCACAGGAGCGCGAGGACCTTCAACTCAGACCGCAGCCCCGGCGCCCCGCCCACCCCGCCCCGCCCCGCCCCGCCCTGGCGCCACGCCCAGCCCTGGCGCCCCGCCCAGCCCTGGCGCCCCGCCCATCGCCCCTCCCGGAAGGGGCGGCCCCTCCTCCTTCCCTTTCCCCTCCCCCTCCTCCTCCCGCGACCCAACCGACCTGCGCGCGCCTCAGGCCCCGCAGCCGAGCGCCGAGCGGCCGATCCGTCGCTTGTGTCTCCACCCGCAGTTGTGTAAGGTGCGCGGGCCGCGGGCGAGCAGGCGGGGGAAAGGGACGGAGGGAGGAAGGGAGGGAGGGACCGAGGCAGGGACGGAGGCAGGGAACGAGGCAGGGACTGAGGGATGGACAGAGGGAGGAAGGGAGGGACAGAAGCCGGTCCTCGCCGCCAGTGCCCGGTTGGAAGCCCGCGCGCGGCGGAGCAGGCTCGGGGAAGCTCTCTCTGGGTCTGCTGCCCCGGGTCCTCGTCCTGCTGCCTCCTGTCAGGGACTTTTTCCCCCGCAGTGCCCCGGGGCTTCAGAGTGCAAGCTGAGCCGCTCACTCTCAACTCCTTTTGCAGAAATGAGGTTTGGGGGAAGTTTTTTTTCTTAACTTGGAACCTCTTTTTTTTTTTCCCGCGCAGAAAGCCCATAGCCCGCCATGGAGCGTGCCTTTACCCCGCTGGAGCCCCTGCTACCCACGGGTACTGTGTCATCCCCTTCCCGGAGGTGCTGCTGCTGCTGCCCGTGCTCCACCCCGGCCTCCCGTGTTCTCCCGCCTCGTGGGCAGGCCACCCAGCCTCCCCCGCGGCCTCCGGTTCCCCTGTGTGGAAAGGGGACACTGAGTATTAGTCTTCGCCCCGTAGACCCTTTGTGAGGGCCGAGGGAGGAGTTGACAGAGTTTTGTGTCCTCCTGACCCGATGTTCCAAGAGTTAACAAACGCCTGAGATGCCAAACACATAACTCCCAGCAGCTCAACATTCCACACTGCAGGGGGAAAAAACAAAATCCCAAAACATGAGAGACAGGGAGAACTGCCTGCTGTCAGGGACACATTTCTAGTCACCTGAGAAATAGCCTGAACTTAGTACAAGAGTAGCAAACTGTTATCTAAAAGTCTGAAAGATTTAACGCTAAGGATTTAAATTATAATTTGCTTGTGTGCGCGTGCATGTGCTGGGGATCGAACCCGGAGCCTTGAGCACACTAGACATACTTTTCTTTTATCAGTAAACTGAATTCCCAACCTCAAGGATTTGTATTTCTCAAACTTTGAAATTATTGCCCTCCACGTGTGTCGAATGAGTTGAGTTAGTAGCATTTATCCTAATGTAAATTGTGAGGCTAGATGTATTTAGTTTTCAAATTGGTTTTCCTATCTATGCGTGTGTGTGTGTGTGTGTGTGTGTGTGTGTGTGTGTGTGTGTGTGTGTGTAGGCACATGTGCAGATGTCACCTCTGAGTGTCATCCTTCAGGCCCTGATCACTTTGTTTTCTCTCACTCACTGGCCTGGAAGTAATTGATTAGGCTAGGCTGGCTGGCTGGCCAATGGATAGGATCCCCTGTGGCCACCTCCCTAGAGCTAGCATTAAGTGCCCATCACTATGCCATGTATTTGTATGTGGGTTCTGAGGTTGAACTCAGCTCTCCCTGCTCTCCTGACTGAATTGTCTCCCCGGCCCCTATTTGCCAATTACTGCTTATTGTGTTTGCACTGTGTGGGACTTTGGGTTAATCACCGGTTTCAGAAGAAAGCATCGTTTTTGGAATGGCCTTTAGTTTTTACAAGCAGGTGAATTCAGGGGTCTTGTTCTGAGGTTTGAATTTGATTTTTGCTTATCATCAGTAAATCCTGGGAGTGCTGGTAGGAAAATCCAAAGGTTACAGTAAGTAATAGCAGTAGGAGACATTGACTTCTTAGTCTTAGTCATTCATTGTGCTCATGTACCCCTTAAGGGCTGAGATGGTTTCCACCAGTAAACATAGGGCTATGTGAGTCTTGAAACTGTGAACATGCAGGAGTCTTGTCTGTACATACTAAGAGGGCTACCATGTCATTAGTGCATGTGCTGTAGGGGAACCACCCTTGTATACATACAGTGCATCATCGATACATTTTTAGCACACACACACATACACACACACACACAAACACACACACACGATAGTACTCACATAAAATAGTGGTTTTGTGAAGAGATCTGATGCTGCTGGGGGATGTGATGGGATTGAGAGTAGTTGAGAGATGGCTAAAAGCAGGAAATGGAGACCAGGGAACTGTTTCAAGGAAGGAGTTAGAAAACATTTGAAGGCTTCTGTGCATTCCTCACTTGGGACAGTCCATAGAAAACAGTCTTTAGAGTACCCTACAGCTCAAGTAATTCACGCTACCCTCAGCTAGGTGCACACTTAGTATCACATGATGAGACATCAGGAGGTTTTTGTAAATCTTACGTCGGTCTTGCAGGCCCTCCAGTGTCTGACTCTTGGTTCTTCTGCTCTTCACTCTCTGTCCCAGTATTTACTTAAGTGAGCAATCATTTCATTCACTATGCTTTCCTTCTCATGCTGCATTTGTCGCCCAGAAAGCTCTAATTGTCATTCAATGAGGTTGATTTCAACTAGGACCACTTGGAAAGGGAGTTACAATGAGGGATGGTCCACATTAGGCTGGTCTCTGGGCCTGTCTGGGAGGAGTTTTTGTGATTAGGTGTATTGATAGGAGAAGACCCAGTTTGAAGGTGGAAGGCACCTACCTCCAAACTCAGTAATGCACACATTAATTCACTCTTCTGCTCATGACTGTACATGTGCCATGACTAGCTGTTTCTGGCCCTTGCTGCTGTGACTTTCCTGCTATGAGGGACTGTGACTTGGAAGGGTAAGATAAAAGGAAAACCTTAATCCCCTAAGCTGCCTCTGTCAAGGTATTAGAGCAACAAAAACAGAACTTAAGACACAAAGGCTGGAGGATTGCTGCTTAAGGCCATCCTTGTGCACATAGTGAGTTTCAGGCTATTTAAGGCTACAGGTTAGGCCCTGTCTCAAAAAAATAATAATAAAAAAGGAACAAACGACATCAACAAGCCCACAAAAATTTTTTTAAAAAGAGTTTAAATATATTTTATAATGTATGCTGTATTAGCTTTTTGCCACTAATGAAGTATTTGGCACAAATGAGTTTTATAAAGGTAGTTTATGTAACCTGCAATTTTGGGTCATCAAAGTCCAAGAATAGGTAGTGTACCATGGATTTAGCCTCTAGTAAAGGTTGAGGATAGTGACCCCTTTGTGGCAAGGCCCCATGTGGGAGCACGCAGTTTTATCTCCACCAGAAGGCACAAGGAGAAACTAGGGTCCTTCCGTCTATATGAATGCCTGAGCTCTTAAAGGTTTGTGCCACCCGACAGTAGCTCCACCTTGTGAACCAAACCTTTTATTATGGTGATGTGTCATCTTGCTGATCCAGAATGATTTTTCATGAAACTGAAGTCAGCAACTTAAACAGCAAACTGTAAAATCAAACATTCTAATACAATACAATCAAAAGCTGTACTAATTTGATACTTATTTGTTATGGATTGACAGTAGAAAAATATTAAAAGTCCTTATATTTTTCTTATTATACTATTTTGTATAAGAGCGCAAAATGTTGTATAGTAAAATCATTGCAGCTTACAACACACGGCGGCCTCAAATATAAGTTATGGTAGTCCAGGCTGCATTGGTTGATACTGTGTGCTGGAACAGCAGAGGTCAGAGGAGGGTATTGGAATCCCGTGGGAGCTGATCTGGGACCTGAGTATGAAAACTTGAGTCCTCTGGAAGAGCAGGAAGCTCTTTAGTGTACGGTAGAAGTTATGACAAATGTTTCTTGGGTGTCCCTATCTGGCACTTTGTACAGTGCCTGAGTAGAGAGGAGCTTGAAGCAAGGTTGTGAGTCTTGGTATTGTAACTAAAAGACACCTTATTGAAAACAAAAGAGGCTCAAAATCTAGATTTTCTAAAGTAATAATATATTGATTTTCTACACACTTGAAAAGTTGGTCAACACATAGGAAATAGCACATTGTTGTGTGTTTATTTATTGTAAGAGTGTATTTTCTATGCTTATGAACTGGAAGAATTCAGAAGGACCAGAGAATTAAAACTACAATGTGCAAAAATGACTGCGTTATTGAGAATAGCAGAGATCAGCTTGTTAAAATGAGACGTTCTTGTAAAATTGTAATTGGGTTTCAGTGAGCCATGGGGCCGTGACACGGGAGCTAATAGAAATCTTTTATGTAAGTGCCAAAGTTAGAGCAGCATATGAGGTTGTTCTGGGCTCTTTAGTTAGCAGGCACTTGTCTGTTGAATATAGAGCACTGTCCAGGCACCCTATCCAGGTTGCTGTAGGAGAGAGATAGAAAGACCAGATTTCTGCCCTTGAGGCCTGGAGTAGAAATAGCTTCAAAATTTAGTATTTGTTAAAAAAATTAGTCTTCTCCCCATTTTAAGACATACAGGGTCAGTGTTCTCATATTTGGCTTCTGATTGTCTGATAACTGTTACATGTGCAATGAACTATAGATAGGGATCTGACAAGAAGAGCCTTTGAGTTGACATTGAACTGGATGTAGACTCGGTGTGCTAGCCCGTGTTTGGTTGGCTTCTTACAGAGGTATTAGCATGTAGTTAGATTTGCAAGTCACAGGCTATCCCATTAATCTGGGAGCTCTATTTTGAGGAAGGATATGTGATAAACTCAGAGCATCCTGTACACAGGCTCTGCTTTTAGGAGCTGTGTCATCTAGCTGATATTTTTGTTTTGGTTTGTTCTGGTTTTTTGAGACAAGGTTTCTCTGTATTATTTTGGAGGCTGTCCTGGAACTCGCTCTGTAGACCAGGCTGGTCTGGAACTCACAGAGATCAGCCTGCCTCTGCCTCCGAGTGCTGGGATTAAAGGCGTGCACCACCAACACCTGGCCTAGCTGGTATTTTTGTATTTGCGTTGTGGGTCACATCAAGTTTTAGTTCTTTTCCTAATACTAGTCCTCTACTTTAGAACTTGTGGTGCTGGCACCACAAGCTAGTTCGAGGTATAGGGAAATGAAAGACAAGGCGTCCAGTTGTTTGTGCTATGAGGATGCATGTATGCATCTTTATTGCAGGAGAATGAGTGCGTGTGTGTGTGTGTGTGTGTGTGTGTGTGTGTGTGTGTGTGTGTGTGAAAGGCAGATGCTGGTAGCTAACTTTTACCCTAGGGCCTTGGTGGAACTCTGGTGATAAATGTTTGGTAAGGGGACTCAACATAGCCATTATCAGAGGTTTGCATTATGAGGACATTCTAGGAGTACTTCCATCAGGTAGTCTGTTAAACAGTATCTGGATACTTAGTATTGGAGTACTCAAACCCTGGCATATGTTTCTTTGACACTCAATTTAGAAAAGGTGTATTTTCTATCATGTTTATGTATGAGTACATGTAAGCTGGAGGTAACTGAGGAGCCAGAGGCACTGGACCTCCTGGAGCTGTGAGCCACCTGGCTTGGCTGCTGGGAACTGAACTCATGCCTGTATGGTGGTAAAATCTTCCCTAAACTGTGAAATAATCTTTGCAAGTCCTTATAATACTTTATTTTTGAATGGAGATATCAGATTATATTCTGAAAGACCCAACATCAGCAAGCTAGTTGTACAGGTGTATTTTTGTTCTTTCTTCCATTTTTGAAATGTATATGAGTATTTTTCTTGCATGTGTATCTTTGTGCTGTGTGTGTGCACTTCCTGTGAAGGCCAAAAGATGGCATCAAATCCCCTGGGGCTGGAGTTTACAGATGGTTGTGAGCCTCCATGTGGGTGCTGGGAATTGAACTCAAATCCTCTGGAAGAGCAGCCAGTGTTCTTCACTTCTGACTGACACACCTCCCTTGTTCCCACTGTTACTATTGAAACTGCATTAACTGCTGGCTATTATTTTCCAATTAATGCATTTTTCTATTATGTGCCTCCAGAACTTTTGGGTTATGTTTTAGTTACCTATAGAGTTGTGTGCTGCATAGTTTTTGTTGGCGTTTCAGTCGCATCAGGATGGGTCAGGTACTCTGGCAGTAGGGAGTCACAGAATACTGAGTGTTACACAGCTCAGGTGGAAAGTTATCCTGGAGCTCGGGAGCCAAGGACCACCACAGTTTGCAGTAAGCTTAGCTTACAGCATTGTCTCAGAGAAAAAGGCTTCCCCAGTGTTTCGGCTCAGCTCCAGCAGGACAGGGTCTTCCAGCTGGGGATGTTTGCCTAGTGTAGCAGTTTTGCTCAGCAGGAGGATTCTCCCGGGAAGTTGCTACAGTTCAGCTCTGCTCCTGAGAGAGCAGAAAGCAGGGAGTGGAGTGTAACAACTCTGCTCTGCCAAGGGAAGGTTTCCTCAGCAAAAGTGTTACAGTCCTGCTGGCTCTGTCTGCCCAGGGTCGCCTTTCTTCTGTCGCCACAGCCGCAAAAAAGAAGATCTTCACCCAAAGCTCATCGAAGGGGTTTACTGGGAGGGAAGAATCCAGGAGAGTGGCTGCCCTCTGTCACAGTGGCAGAGGACAGCCTGGTAGCACAAACAGACACAAGCTGAACAGACACAGGGTTTATATAGGGCTTCCAGAGTGAGGATTGGTCAGATTTTCGTGCTGAGCTCAGATTGGCTAGAGCTCTGCTCCAGGATTGGTAAGTTTTCTGCACAGCATTACGGTCAGATTTATCTCTGGTTTCAGGGTCAAAGTGTGTTTCTTTCTCTGGTCCTTTTTAGCCTTTGGCTCCAATTTTAGGGCCAGGGTTCATTTCTTTCACTGGTTCTGATTCCAGGGACAAAGTGTGTTTCTTTGGCATTGGTTTCAGGGTTAGGGTATATTTCTTTAGTTCTGGTTGCAGGGCCAAAGTGTGTTTCTTTGGCTCTGCTCAGGGTGTGTTTCTTTGACTGGTCCATTTTCCCTACAGTTTTGTGTTAACTTGACACAAGGCAGAATCCTTTGGGAAGAGGGAACCTCATTTGAAAAAATGCCCTCAACAGATTGGCCTAATTGGCAAGCCCGTGGTACATATTCTCGATTGAAGATTAATAGGGTCAAGTTGAGAATATTGTGGGCAGTGTCACCTCTGGGCTGCTGGTGCTGGGTGCCATTAGAAAGCTGACTGAGTGAGTAAACAATGCTCTTCCATGGCCTCTGCTCCAGTTCCTGCCTCGGGGCTCCTCCCCCCGGCTTGAGTCGCTGCCCCGACTTCCCTCAGTGACAGTTACTTGGAAGTATAAGATAAAATACCCCCCCATCACTTTTGGTCATGGTGTTTTAACCCCACAATAGGAATCCTAAGTCAAACTGGGTTTAGTTTTCAGTCCATTCTGACTGTCTTTAGCCCGTGTGTTTGTGTCCGCACCCCTGCATTCATGATGCAGAAGTGTTCCATCACTGTGCTCCCCCGTCGTGACATCATATCCCTCATACCCCTTTTCTTCCACCCGTATCTTCTTTGTGCAGTCAACTGGCCAGTAAGTCTGTTGTTTTAAGTGTAAGATTTGAGATTGCTTGTATTCATTCATAATCCTCCCTGTTGTACTACGTACCAGTAGTTCCTGTCGCCCAGGATCCATAGTAGGGATGCACCAACATAACCAGTTACCTCTCAGTTGTTCTAGTTTGGGATTCTTAGAAATACAACTGAAGTAAATGTTGTGTACTCTATTTATGTGGACGTGTCTTCATTTTCCTGAGTAGATTCCTAGAAGTACAGTTTCTAGGGTATATTGTGGCTACATGGTTAGTTTCTAAAGGACCTGTCATCTCTCTCTAGAGTGACCATTCTCATTTGTGAGTGCCCAGAGTCTTTCCATTGTTTGGTATGTTTATTTTAGACAATTCTGAAAGGTGTATAATGATAACATTTGGTTTTGATTTCTATTTCCTGTTAGCCAATGATACCCATCCTTTTGTTATCTGTTTCCTTTGTGGTCTATGGGTAAATGTGTGTTAAAATTTTTGTCTTTTTTCTAATCAGATTATTTGCTTTTTCACTACAGAAGTTTGAAAGTTAATTTCCTTTCTTCTTTGTTTGGTATATAGTTTTCAAACAAGTCTACGGCTTGTCTTTCCAGTTCTTAAACAAGAGATTCTGTAATATGCGTTTGATGTCAACCTTAAGGGATTGTTAGTATTTTCTTAATTTTATATAGTAACATTATTTCTCTCCTTTTTTCTTCCCCCATGTTTCCCCATCATGTACTCCTCATCTCAAATTCATGGCCTCTTTCCTTTAATCCTTTAATTGTTGTTATGTTTACGTATACACACACACACACACACACACACACACACACACACCTAAAAATATAAAAACAACCTACTCAGTCTGTATAACGTTTCTTGTGTGTACATGATTTCAGCACTGACCGCTTGGCATGGGACAGCTCTAGAACACTGTCCTGCTCTCAACGTTCCATATCTGCCTGTAGTTCTTTGTCCAGGCAACCCATAGGTTAACCAGCGATCCAGAGGAAAACCATTTCTAACAGGCGCCTCTTGTCTGTTGCATACTGTTAAAATGCCTGCAGTGGGCCTGATAAGGCCAACACAGAATTCATCCACGGAGAGACCACCTTGCTCTCCATGGAAAGCCCTCATTAGGAACCTGAGCATGGGTGTCTCAGCAGCACTTCCCCGTTCATAGTCATTCTTCTGCTGCTCGTGTGTGCTCTCTCAGAGGCTCTAATGTTTGCTGACAGATGCTGTAAGCTCCCACGTTGCTGGTCTTTTGCTATTTGCTGCTTCTGTCTGCTACTTGCTATTTGTTCTCTTACTTTTGCTTCCTGAATAGGTAATAAAATCAGTAATTTCATGATAGATGCTGATATGGGTAGCAGACAGATATACACTCTGCACTTAGGGTTCTCCCACTTTGTTAATTTATCCCCCCCGTAAGTATGATCTTATAAATGTTTAATTTTGTACTTTGATTTAATATTGTCTTTTGTGGCTGAGATTGTTCCAGGCTTGCCCACTGGGTCAGAGCAAGCTATTTCAGTTGTCTCTTGTGTTCTTTTTAGCTATCACTTACTTCTGGCACTGCTTGGTGTTCAAACGCACTCTTCTTTCAGCCCGTGGCTGTCACCGTCCTCGTTGCTTACACCCCCATATCTTCTGTTCCCCAGAATTGCTTGGGAGTCATGAAATCACAGACAGGTCTTTGGTCATGCTGCTGCTGATTTATTGCTCTCTCTGGCACTGAGTGTTGTAAGCCCCTGTACTCTGTTACTTTGAAAGCAACTGCTTTTCATGTTATACATTCTCCTCTAATTGTTTGTTGACCTTCTCTTCCCTGTAATAGTGAGCAAACATAATTTTGCCCTCATTCTTTGTTCTTTCCCCAAGTCTGTTTGCAGCTACGTCTGTTTGTATGCTCCTCAGGTATACAGGAAGCACTTTAATACCACACATTCTGTACAGATCTTAAGTTCTATTCCAATGAAATTCCAAGTGTTACTTTTGAATTTTATATTTTTGTTAATGTCCTACATTATTAAGATGCTTCTTCTTTCTCTATTGCTTCTTGAATTGTATTGAGATTATAATTATATCATTCCCTCTTTCCTGTTCCTCCCTTCAAGCCTTCCCATGCTTTCTTTCAAATTCATGGCCTCTGTTATCTGGCCTTCCTCATATACTTATATTGTTGCATATACAGTCTGAATATTATCAACATTTTATTGGACATATAGCCAATAAATTTACCCTTCTTTTTAGCCCTCAATGCATGGAGTATAATTAGTAATAAAGTTGGTTGTACATGATGACATATTCTTTTCATTACCTTTTCTGTTTCAAATAGTGAGACGCCTCACAAAATGGTTTTTCTTATCACTAAGCAATTATTTGATTTCTGCAATTGAAGAGTTCTTGAGCAAAACTGGTGCATTCTCAACAGCTTGATTGCATTTTCTTTGTACCATATAAAGTTCATCACAGGAAGTTAGAAGTGAATCATTTTCGAGCCCCGTCCCAGCTTCAGGAACCTGTTTCTTCTTGACCTTTTCCTTCTATAAAAGTTCAGAAAATAACATCGCCTGTGTCTTTGTATAGTATCGTCTGAATACTTGAGTGAACTAGAATTCTTGAATAAAGACATGGTAGGGTTTGTGAGAACACACATGGTTTTACATTAGAAAGGTCAAAGTGAGGTGGGATGTAATAAAAATAGTAACACGAGTGAGCGGGGACGAGTGTGACAGCCGACGCCAGCACCCCCGAGTGACACCAGTTCCTAAAATGACTGGAGAGCATAAAGGCAGGGCTAGCGGAGTGTGTCATGTCACTGCTGGATCTTCTTAAGGATGAGAACTCATATTAAAAGCACTTATCTTCTGCAATAAAAAGTTCATCTTCCTTTACTGTGAACTGCATTCATGACACATTCTTGAAATGATGTGAGACAGACAGACATTCTGAACAAAGCAAGTCCTGTTAATACATTCTGAACAAAGCAAGTCCTGTCAATACATGATCTCTTTTAAAAGGAAGGTGTGCTAGAGTAACTGCTGTCACAGTCCCCGTTAAGTCCATGGAGCTTAGGATTCAGACCCAGATCATGGGTGGGGGCTCAGTTCATCTCTGTGTGTGTTTTACCCTTTTTCTTTTCTTTTAGGAAATTTGAAATACTGCCTCGTGGTTCTTAATCAGCCTTTGGACACACGCTTTCGTCATCTTTGGGAAAAAGGTAATCTTAACTAGCATTTAATTGTCTTTGCTACTGAATAACATGACTTGCACCCAGTTACGTACACCCCACCAAAAAAACAAGTAAACAAACAAATCTGAATAGGAAAACACAACACACACAATCCATAAAAGACAAAAAAGCAGAAACTATAATATATAAAAAAATGACCAATGAGACAAAAACATCCCAAACAAAGCAATATGAGACAAAATGTCTACAGAAATCCCATGGAGTTCGTTTTGTGTTAGCCTTCTACTGATGGACACAGTAGTGTGATTAATATACCCTGTGAGATTCTGTTGGTGAAAGTTTGTTTTTCCTTTGTGATCAGATGCCAGTTGAAGATAGCTTCTTGGTTAGGAATGGAAGCTTCTGTCTACTTACCTCTCTCAGTGCTGGGACCCCATCTGGCTCAAATACAAGCCCTGTACATGCTTTCTTTTCTTTTCAATTTTAAAAGATTAAAATAAAATTGCATTATTTCTCCCCTTTATTTTCTTACCTTCAACCTCTCCTAAGCTAACTTCCTCTCAAATTCATGGCTTCTTTTTTCTTTATGATTACATATTGAGTCTCAGCCCTCTCTAGTGGACACTGTACTTCCCTCAGGCCAATGCCACAACCTTTACCAAGGCAATGACCCCTTATGTTAGATCCCAGTCCAGTCGCCTGGCCTGGCTTCCTTCTGAAAATCTTAAAGGGTATCCACTAAGCTTCTTCTGTCCAAGTGCATTTTCCTCTCAGACTTTCTCTACCCAAGGGTTCTCAAGGGCTCTGGCGGATAAGTCTGGACCATGTCTCAGAGAAACTTCCCTGGGAACTGCCTCACACCCTGTGCTCTGTCTCTCAGTCAGGACCTTCAGCCTCAGCAGGAGGAGGGCAGGCAGCAGTGCTTCCTCTTCAGTTGAGATGCACACAGCTAGACTCTTGAAGTTTCGGTCTCTGAGTTGTTTGCATCAGAACCTGATACTGCATGTTGCTTGTGGTGGACTGTCAAAGAGAGGTCTCTGTTACTTATGCCTTTTTACTCATGCATGCCTGTATCATGTCATCTGTCTGTTTCTCATTGTATGTTATTCCTTTTGTGTGTCTTTGTGTTTCTGACTATCCAATGGAAGTGATTACTTAATACAGGTAATGGCATAGCATTCAGAGTCATTATTGTTTCCATTCAACTACCTATTCCAAATAGTACTTTACACCTAACTGCTACCAAATCATGGTTCTGTACCATAGTTCTGCAATGTTATATTAATTTAGTACAACTTAAAACATGTTAAATCCATAGTCTAAGAATCAGTATCTCAATAAAAGTTGTACTTAGCAACTTTTATTCAAGACTGTCTTTTTTTTAGCGAACAAAGGTGTTTTTAGGGAGGCTGATTTGTTTGTTTAGGGATGAAAAGGATGATATCAGTCAGGAAAGAAATGACTTAACACAGTTGACCTCTGACCTCCACATGTGTACTGTGACATTTGTCCTCTACATCTAATGAGCAAATAAGCAATTAATTGTCACTGTAGAGGCAATCACTTTACTCCAGGAACAAGTTCCCTGATGGATTATACAGTACCAAATGGGCAGACCAACCATATGTACATGTAGGCATTAAGTACAAAAGAATCAGGATATAAATATAGTATACTCATGTACACGTAAAATTCTCAAAAATTAAAAGCATAATACAGCATTTTAAAGGAAAATGAATTCAAAAAGTGCATTGTATTTCAGAGGTTACTATTAAGAAAGTGAAAAGACAACCCACATACAGAAAGCATTATTTGCTAGCTTTGTGTCTGAGTGAGAGTGTCTTAGTTCCTCTTCTGTTGCTGTGAGCCAGGCAATTTAGAGAAAAAAGAGTTTATTGGAGACTCACAGTTTCAGAAGGGAAGTTCATCACAGTGATGGCAGGAAGCATGGGGGCAGGCAGGTAGACATGGAGCTGGAGCGATCAAAGATAGTTAAGAGCTCACATCCTGAGAGAGGGGGGAGGGAGGGCGGGTGGGGGCAGAGAGAGAGAGATCTGGAATGGTGTGGCCTTTTGAAACCTGAGAGCCCACACCCAGTTCTACAGCTCCACCAAGAAGGGCATACCTAAGTAGTCTGGAGACCTAGTATTTAAATTATGAGCAAAGGGGACCATTTCATTCAAACTGCCAGAGATGGACACATGCCTAGAACATATGAAGAAGTCTTAGAGTTGAATAATGAAAGCAAGAAGTGACCCAATTAAAAAAAAACTAGACAAAGGATCTGAATAGTCATTTTCTATGGAAAGTATGCAAACACCCAACATGCACATGCCTATGATAAAATGCTCACCCACCTGGAAGTCTGAATGACAATGAGATACCCTTTGATACTTACCAAATTGTGTTGAGAACGAGAGTTGGGGATGGTTAAAAAATTACAGCTAGGATACACTGCCGATAAGTATGTCAGTGGTGGTGTAACTTTGAAGACCACTCAGAGTTGTCACTTGTCCTATTTCTACTCTAAGACTCAAGCACAAGAGAAGTGAGAGTACGTGTTCACATGAACGTCCTTAGAATATTCAATTTCAGTGACAGAATGAGGCACTGGTATGTTATAAAATTGATGAACCTTGAACATAGTGGTCTAAATGAGGGGATTCGGGCACAAAAGACAACATCTTACAACTCAACTAAAATTAAATGCCCCTGAACTGGGTTTGTGGAACCCATTCCCTGTGGTGGGACACCTTTCTCAGCCTTGATAGGGAGAGGGGGGACTTGGTCCTGCCTCAACTTGGTACACCAGACTTTGTTGACTACCCAAAGAAGGCCTTACCCCTATGAGGAGTGGTTGGGGGTAGGAGGGGGGAATGGGGGGCAGGAGAAGTGGTAAGAGGAGGAACTGGGAATGGTATGTAAAATGAAAAATAATTTTTAAAATAAAAACATTAAATGCCCAAACTGCCAAATTTACAGAAATGGGAAATATATTCATGCACACTCAGTACTATGAGGTAAAAGTTACAGAGTTATTTGAAGTTACTCTCATGTTGATAAAATGTTCCCAAATCAATATTATTGTTGTTGCACAACATTGGGAATTTACTAAAAATATGGATCACGTGCCTAAGTGTGTTGTTTTGTGTATATGAATTGTATTTCAGTAGGGTGCTCATAAAACATCAATCAGTAGTAAAGCATGGTCTACTCTCCACTAGTCTTTCATAACAATGAGGTGCCCGCTTCCTTAGGAGATTTCACATAGCAAGATGTGAAGACGCTGTTTTCATTTTTGGAAATATTCGTGCAGCAAGTTTTTCAAATCTACCGTGTCGTTATAGCATAGAACTTTGGATTCAGTTGGTGTGAAGTAGTGATCACAAATCCATATTTCTATCAGATTTGTTTGCTGAGTCATTTATTTATGTGTTCATTCATTCATTAAACTAGACTGTTTTGGTATACTTTAAGACTCAGTACTTTAGAATTTATGAGAACAACATTTTTTTATAATTATATTTGAAGCACAACTCTTACTGGCTGCTATGATAAGCCCTTGACAGGTTTAGATTGTAGCTCAGCTTAAATTCCATAGAACACAAGATGTTATCTGTCTTGTACATCACAGAAAATAACATTTGTAATGTTATATTTGAAATGTCTTTCTTTTTCTAAATACTTTCTTCATTCCATCTGCATATAAAGGTTGGTGTTTCAGTGACAGATATTACTTCCTGCCTGGTGGTCAAATCTTGGTTTTCTTTAACATTTACAGTAAGCAATTACTTCTTTGTGAATATTCCTTGGAACACTAGAAATTCTAGTGCTGCATGAAATAAAATACTTGGCACAGAAGATTAAGCTTTTTTCTTTTTCATAGCATGATAGATTTATGAAGCTAGGTAGAAATGACTGTCGTTTCTGTCTTTGTGTACTTTACCATTCTTAATATTTATTGTTTTAATTATCAGATCAAAGAGTGACTTTAGTTTATTTTAATTAGAACATTCTTGTTTGATTTTTTTTTACTAAGGGTAAGCTTTCTGTGGAAGAGTGTGAAAGGCAATCATTATGAGCATTAAAATCTTTTTTTTGTTTTGTTTTTGTTTTTCGAGACAGGGTTTCTCTGTATTGTCTTTCCTGGAACTCGCTTTGCAGACCAGGCTGGCCTCGAACTCACAGAGATCCACCTGCCTCTGCCTCCCGAGTGCTGGGATTAAAGGCGTGTGCCACCAACGCCCGGCCGAGCATTAAAATCTTAATTAAAGAAACTGTATTCTGAGGAAATTTATCTTCTTGATTTAAACAAGCAAGCAAAAATGTTTCAAGTAAAGGAAATATCCTTAGGAGCCTGCCACTACAAAATCCTTAAGCCTCTTGTCTAATGTTATGTTGTGAATTAGTGATCATTCAAAATGCTTATTAAATTACTAAATAAATGAGCTATGGATCTAACGGATCTGGGATTACTTACCTTGTAGGGATTTGCAGTCTATGCAGTCAGTCCATAAGGATTTACACAGCACTTGGAACTTTATCAGTGAATTGGCCAGGATTATGGAAAGGGAGTTTGAGAGGGAGGAAAGGAAGGCTCCACCCTTAAGCATTTATAATCTGTAATGCAAATGGGACCCAGCATACTCATGTATGCCATCAGTGTTGTATAATAGTGCCTGTGGACTCAGAATTCTAAGGGGGACTTTGGGAAGGGACACCTGTGTGGATACACACATGTCAAGCGTCCATTCAAAGGTAGGATTGCCATCTCTGATAATGAATTGAAAGGAAATCAAAAGTGATGTTTCAAAATGCAAAAAGAAAGAAAGAAAAACAAAAACACACCACTAAGATTAAGAGTTCTTTATTTTATTATGCTGTGTTGAAGGGACCAGCTGTTATATACTAAAGTTAGGAATCCTGACTGATGCTGCCCACAATAGTGCCCTGTCTTGCCTTTTGTGTTATAAAGGAAATTTCACCTTAGTTTTTGGTTGATATCACAAGTTTGGGGACTTGTTTGT